TGGGAAACCCTGGTATTATGTTTGGTTAATCTTTCTAATGTTACAGTTGCTATCATGCATTAGTAGGAAGTCAAGTTTCTATTTGTGTGTTATCAACCTTCAAAAGCTTAGAAATGACTTCATTTGTATTGTTTTACTATTCAATATATTCATAGGATTCAAAACTTTAAATGGAAATTAGCTTTTGTTATTTCATGTCAAATGTAAGTATGCATTTTCAAATGTAATTTACTTCTATTTATACTGTTTTATTGACTGTTGGAAGAAATATATTTGAGTTTAAACCGGATAAGATTAATCTCATGTTCTCTTACCTAATATTTTTAGTTCATGGTCCCAGACAAATAAATGCAATACTTTTAATGTATTTGTTATAATAAATAACTTTTCAACACAATGTTAATGTCATTAGTATTTACCAGCCTAGTCCTAATACATCAGTTAAGAATCATAACGTTGGGGAAGTGTAAGAATGGTGACGAAGGTAGAGATACTGTGATGATTAGCTGCTGGTCTGCCATGCAAAGCTCCTCTTAGCTTCCTTTCTGTATGTACATCTGAAGCTTGTTTCCTTGTGGCCCCGTCTCATTTGACTGCAAGATGTGATACAGTAACTGTAACAGTACTCTCTGTGTCCGGGTTTAGTTTACAGGGCTGAACTGATGCATGCTGGGAGCGATGTATCAACTTGTGCTAAAGCAGTGTGGCTTATACAATCACATTACACAGGGTGTCCGCGGGGTCTTAAAAAGTATTAAAAGTTGATAAATCAATTTAGCGAAAATGAAGGCTATTAAAAAGTATTAAACGGCATTTTCCAAGGTATTACATTTTGTAGCTTGTTTTCAATAAGTATATAAATTGTCCAAAGAGGTTGTATTCTACAGTCTGCCTGAATGTAATCATTGCGTAGGTGTGTAGTGTGATTCTGTGTAGTTTATTTATGGCATCCCGTTGGATTTGACGTCATCTGAACAGGACATCGCACGCTCACTGCTTGATAGCGCGCGAAGGTCCTTTTACGCCGGTTGTTAAACAACATCGTTATTGGGTTTTATTTTTCAAGCAGGCATTGAGAGAAATAAACGTTTTCTAATTTGAGATGTTATATCATAATTATATTTGAATCCTTTTTAGCTATATAGTGGTGCATGGATGATGTATGTTTGTTGGCCAACCCGGAAGTTAGTATTGCAAGTTTCCCTCTGCAATGGGATTTTTCAAACGGATTTTGGAATATTGCAGAAAATAAACATTTATGGTATACTTACACATGTGCTACTGCAGGATCATCTCCACAAACCATCCAGAATTTCAACTTCACCATTGACAGCCACACTCTATCTCCCCCCCCTCACATCCGCTTCCTCGGAGTCATCTTCGACAGTCAGCTCAAATTCAATCACCACATCAATCACATCACCAGAACTGCGTTTTTCCACCTCAAAAACATTGCCCGTCTCCGCCCATCACTCTCCTCCTCTGCTGCTGAAACCCTGATTCATGCATCCATCACATCACGACTCGACTACTGCAATAGCATCCTCTACGGCATACCATCCAACCTCCTCAATAAACTCCAACATATCCAGAACTCTGCTGCCCGCCTCCTCACCCACACCCGCTCCCGAGACCACATCACTCCCGTCCTCCAGAACCTCCACTGGCTCCCCGTCCGTCAAAGAATCCACTTCAAAGTCCTCCTGATTACTTACAAAGCCCTCAACAATCAGCCCCCCCCTAGCTCACAGACCTGCTGCACCACCACACCCCTTCCCGCTGCCTCCGCTCATCAGAAGCCAACCTCCTATCCATCCCCACCCGCACCAATCACCGGACCTGGGGGGACAGAGCCTTCTCCGTCGCTGCCCCCTCCCTCTGGAACTCACTCCCACAACCCATCAGAGACTGCACTGACCTCACCACCTTCAAAAAACTCACAAAAACGTACCTCTTCAATCTGGCTTTTAATGTGTGATTGTTTTTGTATTATTTGACTTTAACTTTAACTATATATATTTATTTGTTGTTCTTTTCTTTTCACTATATCTGTAAAGCGTCTTTGAGCACCTGTAAAAGCGCTAACAAAATACATTTATTATTATTATTATTATTATTATATTAACACCACCTTTTATAATAGTTAAAGCGTGAATGCAGTCGGCAGAAGTAAAAAGCTAGCAATAATGTCAAGGAACTACAGCACGGTCACATGACATCACCACTAACAAAACGTGTAAAACTTGTATATATACCACACTATTTTGGGTTCTAACCAAAAACCCTTCAACAAAATGTTTGACCACGAAACGAGGTAGCCCTAAAATGTTAAATAATTTCCGGGTTTTAGGACTCATCCTGCAATCAATCAATCAATGTTTATTTATATAGCCCAATATCACAAATGTTACATTTGTCTCAGTGGACTTCACAGTTTGCACCACTCTTATGTCCGGCAGTGGCTCAGTCAGTAGGGTCGCCGGTTCAAGTCCCCGACCAGACCTAAATATGGAGTGTGGACTGCTACTTGGAGAGGTCCCAGTTCACCTCATGGGCCCTGCCGTGGTGCCCTTGAGCAAGGCACCAGACATCCTCCAATGAGGGGTCAGGATTTACAATTTAGGATGGATGAAAAGTCGAGACATTCTGTGAACCCAAAAACATGCTGGCTGTAATCTGTAGATGTGGGCCACAGATTCATAATCTGCACTGGGCAGTTTGCCTCCAATAAACTGATGATGTTATCATGGTGGGTGTGAGGGTGCTGGAAGATTAGGCTGGAAAGAGTTCAGGAAGAGGAATAAAGAAGAGGATGGAGGGATGTGAGGGGGCCGGGAGTGTCTGCAGCCAAGTTGTACTTCAACAAGTGTCTGACCTAAATGCTAACATGTTGATGTTTAGAAGTTTTCATCTTCACCATGTTCACATGAACCTACCAGGAAGTGAGCTGGGCATTGAAGTAAATGTTGGTAGTGGCCAACTGGTGTTACTACAACGTCAGTGTCAGTCACGTGACGTCATTGGGCCCAAAACTACTATCATTTATAAATATCTTTTGACTTACATTGAAAAACAGACCTTTTTAAATAATTTGATTTTTTTTTCAAAATGTAAATCAACTCTAGAACAAACACTTTAATATATTTTATTTAAATTATTAGGTTCTAAAAGTGCGCTGATATCCAAATCCAGGGTTCATTTCCCTCTCCATTTATTTGACTGAGCTGAGACCAGACAGGAGGCTGCTGTGAAGTAACAGGGTGTTTCTCAATCTCGAGTAAAGCTGCTCCAGAGCCACTATTTCAAGCATACTACGTCATCGAGTGCCGCCGAAGTACTGTTCCAATGTCCAGCATACTTGGAAATCTACCGAGCCCGGCGTACTTCGTAGCGAGAAATTTCGAGGCTGCACATGTGTAGACTCCGCGGTCTTAAAATCCCACAATGCTTTGCGCACGGACCAATTTCCCCAAATCTGTGGCGGAAAATGTAAGGCGGGGCCTCTCATATGACACACACCTGCACACTTGCTCGCCTGTTCCACTCTTCGTTTTCCGAATGCCAGGAAGTATTCTTGCCTTGATTCTGAAGCAAGTGACTCGGAAGACATGTGCTACCAAGCAAGCGTACTCGACATTGAGAAACACCCACTGATTGGAGGTCTGACTAAATTAAAGGCATATGCACAAGCTCTATGGGCCCAGACCCCCTTAAGATCTGGGTATTTCTGTACTTGAGTCAGGCCATTTTGGTTTCATGTCCCACTTGGCAACTTTCATAGGAATGAAAGGGGCCCTGCCTCCAACACTGTGTCCAGTTCTCTTTATACATCCATCTCACTTTTAGTTGCAAATATTTGCTATTAAGCACTAAACAAGATGTACAGCTGAGGCTGATGGGAAAGCTATTAGATGTGCAGGCCGACTAAAGTATTGGTTAAATGGAAATGTTGGACAAAGACTTCTACTTTCAGTTCAAGTATACAAATGTAGACATTCCTTCCTAAAGCATTAGCAAAACCAAACTTAAAAAAAAATCTGCTTTACATGTTTACAACATCTTTCTTGTTCTCCTCACATTTACATGACTGTCCTATGCAGTTGACTGGACCGGTGATGCAAACATTCAAACACAATCTGAATCTACCAATCAAAACATTGATACGAAAAAATGCCAAAACTACACAATGTGCGTATGACAATAAAACCTTGAATCTTGAATCTTTGATGGTTGAGAACTTCAAAGAGCACCTATACTTCTTAATGTATGAGATTGTAATGAAGAGGACAACACTCTGTCTCTTCGGACAAACTAACCACAACCTGCTCTCTGGTGTTGTTGTCCTTGTCCTGTCTGAGTCACACATGCACATGGTGTCTGAATGATTAAAACCAGTCTAGTGTCCTGTATTCTCTCATGCTCTTGGGAAACTCTAAACCATTGATTCACAAAGCAGCAGCAGCAGGAGATATCTATAACATTGCACCTAAACAGCTGCTTGTGTTTGTATCTATAAACTATAGATAGTCCAACTGTTCAAATATCCAGTCACTCATGGTTCTTCTTATACATTATCTCCTCCTATTCTTTTTGTACACTCCCTCTGATGCACACACAGCTTCTTAATGTATTTCCTTCTCTTATACATGCACTCTAGTTGCTAATCTTCGTTTTGTAGCCACTATACTACCAGTGCTTATTTTCAGCACTGGACGTCCATAAAATCAAGTGTTTGTCCTCTCCTTTTTTTTGTTCATCTTTCTATTGTGTTGTTTAAAGGGGCATGGTATATTCATTTAGTATATCTTATATAATATCAAAATAAAACCCAGTCTGTTAAATACTTGACACAAGCACTTCATATAGTTGTTATACACTTTTATAATAAACAGGAGTACAATAATTACCACTCCTGCCAATCAGGACCCATTGAAGGCTGCCTTGTTGCTGTTAGTCTCTGCAAGTGGAATCTAAATGAAACCCTCTCTCCTCCGGTCCAGATGACACGGTGTCGGCGGGCAGCAACCTGGACATGGAGGACCGGGTGTCCCACCTGGAGCAGAAGCTGCAGCTGCAGGAGGACGAGATCCAGCTGCTGAAGGCCGCTCTGGCCGACGCCCTGCGCAGGCTGGGCTGCTGTGAGGAGCAGAGCCTGGGTCAGCCGCCGGGGGGCCACGCTGCTGGGAGGAGACCCCTGCCCACCACAGCAACAGCACATACCACCAAGGGTAAGAAAGGTAATCGGACAAAAGTATACCAGCGCCCAGAAGCATCACTACCTAGTTAATTTTCTCATCAGTATCATCAATATGGCCAAGAAACTCTCCTACATGACATGGATCTAGAAAGCAGCAAAAGCAAATGAAAGTCTTACTGCACATACTGTTGCAAGGCAAATGTATTTATACAGCACATTTCAACATTCAAAGGGCTATACGAAAAGCATTCAAAGCATTATGATATAGTGCAACAAGTAACGCAGAATGACGTGTCATTAAAAAGACAAGATAATACAAAATAAAACAGAACTTTGCATGTCATATCGGTCACATTGCAGGGTCACCATTGCCTCACATACAGCACAAAGTCCCAGATTCAGAATTATTATCGTCTCTCAATTCCCGTTTTGCTGATGAAAATAATATTTTTTCCTTTCAGTGCGTCAGCTCCTGCAGGCTCTTCCCTCCAGACCTCTGAATAACGGCTACGTTCAACAGAAGCGCCTCCTCTCCTCCCCCTCCTCTCCTAAGAAGGAGGTGCTACAGTCCATCAAGAGGTACACAAAACCAGAGTGTATCTTGGTTGAATAGAGGAGAAGAAGTGTAAATATATGTTTTTAAAACACAATATTGTCTCCTTTAGGAAGAGTATGTCCACCGAGCGTCTCACTATGGTGAGGAGAGAGATGGGGGTGGAGAGTCGGAGTCGGACCACCTCCTCCAGCAGCTCCTCCGGAGGCAAAGGGTAACGTATCAGCCTCCTCCAGTGGGATACTGTACATGTATATTATTCACTGTGTTATCTAAAATACCCTCTTGGACTCTGCAATACTAGAAAACGAAAACAGCAGTGACATTTTACACAAAGGCAGAAGCAGGATCTGGGGTTAGTAAAGTCTCTCCAGGGTTATCTGGCTTGTCACTCCTACGCTGTTAGTTCCCTTTCTACCAGAGTAGATCTCCTTGGTAACTTATGCTGAACAAGTCACCTGCTCTGAAACAGGTTATGTTCTATATAAGAAATGAAATAGAGTACAAACCCCACCTGCCGACCGATTAAAGCTTAGTGCAAGGATCCTAAAATAATAAAACTTAAATATGTAGAAATGTAAGGCTCTCAAGTGGTAATCCAGGCTAAAGTGCAGGAAAGATGGCTGGCAATAAATCTCCAACTGTGTGAATGTGTGAATTAAAAGAAATAATATTGCACATCTTCCAAACAATATGACTACATTTCAAGTAAGCAGGCTTACTTTAACACCTTCTAATCACCCACAGCATAAGTAACAGGAGCAAAGTAACTCAGAGCAGTGCAGACACTGTAAGTTCAGGTCTCTTGTTCATGTTTGTGATTGGTCAAATGCTGCAAATTCCGCCTCTTATATGCAGGGTTCGTACGGTCATTGAAAACCTGGAAAAGTCATGCAAATTCCAGGCCCTGGAAAAGTTATGGAAAACAATATTTTTCCCAAAGTTTTGGAAAAGTCATGGAAATGTAACTAAAGTTGCGTCAAATATAATTTACATTTGATCTAATTGCCGAAATAATCTGCGGTCGCGAGCTGTTATGTGCCATCATGATGCGCATGGTGTTATTTTTTTATATATGAAGCGCAAGCTGTGTGCTCGAGTCTTCCTGCCTGTCGGCTACCTACGGTGCATTCGTTAACAGTAACTGTGCGGTCCGGAGTCACTGTGGCACAGACTGGACGGCTGGTGAACAGCTGTTAGAGCGTGCCGTTCAGGTGTTCAGAGCAGAGCTCCCTGTTGGAGCAGCAGAGCGTGATGTGAACTGAAACGTTTTTCTGTCGCAATATTATTTAAGGAATCGTTGAGCTAGCTAACTAGCATACATTGTCACTATCTGCTAACGTTAGCTTTAGCCTTCGTTTTCTAATAGTTTCTTTCATAGGCTATAAACAGAGGTGGTATAAGTAAATATTGTACTAGAGTAAAAGTAGAAGTACTCAGATATTGTACTAAAGTAAAAGTAGAAGTACTCAGATATTGTACTAGAGAAAAAGTAGAAGTACTCAGATATTGTACTTGAGTAAAAGTAGAAGTACACAGATCTTGTACTTTAGTCAAAGTAGAAGTACTCAGATATTGTACTTGAGTAAAAGTAGAAGTACTCAGATCTTGTACTGGAGTAAAAGTAGAAGTACACAGATCTTGTACTTGAGTAAAAGTAGAAGTATTCAGATATTGTTCTTGAGTAAAAGTAGAAGTACTCAGATCTTGTACTGGAGTAAAAGTAGAAGTACACAGATCTTGTACTTGAGTAAAAGTAGAAGTATTCAGATATTGTTCTTGAGTAAAAGTAGAAGTACCAGAGTCTTTCCCCGCTCAGAAACCCAGGTCGTCGCACGCATCTCTGCTTGTGACATCTCTCAGTGGATGTCTGCTCACCACCTCAAGCTCAACCTTGACAAGACTGAACTGCTTTTCCTTCCGGGAAAAGATTGTCCCACTCTTGACCTAACAATCAACATCGGCACCTCTGTTGTTTCCCCAACTCAAGGGGAATCTGCAAGGAATCTGGGTGTGACCCTAGATAACAACCTGTCCTTCACTGCAAACATCGCTGCTACAACCCGCTGCTGCAGATACACTCTTTACAACATCAGGAGGATACGTCCGCACCTGACCCAGAAAGCGACGCAGGTTCTGGTCCAGACTCTCGTCATCTCACGCCTAGACTACTGCAACTCCCTCCTGGCTGGTCTACCTGCATGTGCCATTCGACCTCTCCAGCTCATCCAGAATGCAGCAGCTCATCTGGTCTTCAACCTTCCAAAATGTTCCCACACCACGCCGCTCCTCCGCTCACTTCACTGGCTTCCAGTAACTGCTAGAATCCACTTCAAAACAATGGTACTTGCATACCATGCTGCGAATGGATCTGGCCCTTCCTACATCCAGGACATGGTTAAACTGTACACCCCAGCACGTGCAATTCGCTCTGCATCAGCCAAACGGCTCGCTGCACCCTCACTGCGAGGGGGACCCAAGTTCCCATCAGCAAAAACACGTCGGTTTGCTATCCTGGCTCAAAAATGGTGGAATGAGCTCCCCATTGAAATCAGGACAGCAGAAAGCTTGCACATCTTCCGGCGCAGACTGAAAACTCATCTCTTTCGACTCCACTTCGAGCGATAGAATTACTAACAAAGAACTGCTAACAGAGCACTTATATACTAACAGAGCACTTATATACTAATAAAGGACTGGCTTATCTAAAGCTAGTTGAGTAGCACTTGAAATGTTTTGGCTCTATGAAACCTGATGTACTTATATGATTCTGTTTTCTTCAAGTTTGTATCTTCCTGGTCGAATGTACTTATTGTAAGTCGCTTTGGATAAAAGCGTCAGCTAAATGCAATGTAATGTAATGTGTAGGAATACTCTGTTACAGTAAAAGTCCTGCATTCAAAATGTTCCTCAAGTAAAAGTAGAAAATAATTATCATCAAAATATAGTGAAAGTAGCGACAGTAAAAGTAGTGATTCTGCAGATTGGTCCATTTCAGAATAATATATATGATATGTTTTATAATGATTGATCATGAAAGTGTTATCACAGCTGGTAAAGGTGCAGCTAGTTTGAATGACTTTGTATACTGCAGGGTAGCTTGTGAATTTACTCCAGGTGGAACTAAAGTCTGATTTAACACTTGATTATATTTCACATCATTCATCCACATCTGTAAAGTAACTAAAGGTATTAAATACCATTTTCCTCTGAACTGTAGAGGAGAAGAAGAACAAAGTAGCAAAACATTGAAATACTTAAGTAAAGTACAAGTATCTCAACATTGTACCTAAGTATAGTACTTGAGTTTATGAACTTAGTTACTTTACACCACTGGCTATAAAGATAGAAAGACTAAGCCTTACACAGAGGCATGAAAATACATTTTCAAAATGCTCAACAGAGCTGCCAAAATTATAAACTGACTGCTACACAATTCAAATAAATGCTTTTATATATTTCTATTAGATGTGACTCTTTAGCGTTTCTGTTATTATTAACACTGCTGCTTTAGTTGTTCTGACTGCTAAAATCCTCTGTTATTCCTCATTTGAAAGCCGATATTCCGTGGGGTCGGGGGGCTCGGATCCTTGTCACCTTTTTCATATGTGATGAGTTTGCATCCCTGACTACAGTTGCTTTAGCGTGTAGAAGCTAGTAAGCCTACTATTTTATTTGTTTTAGATAGGCACAACATGTTTCATATGCTGACCTTATTTTCCTGTTCCATGTTAAAATAAACCATTTTCAGTGGTACCGCTGAGAAAGAGTAATTATTTTCGGTCATGGGAAATTAGGTAAAGATCATGGAGAAGTCATTGAAAAGTCATTGAAAATCATTGGTGAAAAAGTGTATGAACCCTGTATATGTGAACTACAGTAGCTCGTAGCCAGACTGAAAAACCCTGGGTTGACCTACAGAGATGGTAGATGGTGGGGTTAGTTGATCCAAATAACACAAAGATATCCTGTGTATGTTCAACTGTCTTCATATTACATTCAGGGTTAATAGGCAAGGCAAGGCACGTTTATTTATATAGCACCTTTCAACACAAGGCAATTCAAAGTGCTTTACAAAAATGAAAGACATTAAGAAAATCGCATTTAAATACAGTCATTAAAAAGCAAAGATAATAAAATAAACATTCAAAGAAAAAATACATGAATAAAAGTTACAGTGCAGTTTAAGATATAAATAGTTCAATTAAAAGCAGCGACAAAAAGAAAAGTCTTCAGCCTGGATTTAAAAGTAGTCAGAGTTGCAGCGGACCTGCAGGTTTCTGGTAGTTTGTTCCAGATATTTGGGGCATAATAACTGAACTTCTCCATGTTTAGTTCTGACTCTGGGGACAGAAAGCTGACCAGTCCCTGAAGACCTGAGAGATCTGGATGGTTCATAATTTAGCAGGAGGTCAGAGATGTATTTTGGGCCTAAACCATTCAATGCTTTATAAACCAGCAGTAGTATTTTGAAATCAATTCTTTGACACACACAATTCTCTAACAAGTAAGAAGTAACACACAGGAAGCCAGTGTAAAGACTTCAGAACAGGAGTGATGTGATCCATTTTCTTAGTGTTGGTGAGGACTCGAGCAGCGGCGTTCTGAATTAGCTGCAGCTTTCTAATAGATTTTTTAGTGACACCTGTGAAGACACCATTACATTAGTCGAGTCGACTGAAGATAAAAGCATGGACAAGTTTTTCCAAATCCTGCTGTGACATTAGTCTTTTAATCCTCGATATATTCTTAAGGTGATAGTAGGCTGTTTTAGTAACTGTTTTAATGTGACTGTTGAAACTCAGGTCAGAGCCCATGACTACACCTAGAGTTCTGGCTTTATCTGTTGTTTGGAACATCGCAGACTGAAGCTCAGCGCTAACGTTTATACCTTCTGCCTTGGCTCCAAAAATCATTACCTCAGCTTTATCTTTGTTTAATTGGAGAAAGTTCTGACACATCCAGTCATTGATTTGCACTTACTCAGTGTTTGAATTGGAGCACAGTCTCCTGGTGAAATGGTTACGTAAATTTGTGTGTCATCCGCATAGCTTTTAGGGCTGTGCATCTTCACTGGTCTCACGATTCGATTCGATTCGATTACGATTATCCTGTCTTCGATTCGATATCACGATTCATACCAATGCGTTGCATCCTCAATTTTCTATATTACTGCACATGGCTTCTTTTTCATCAATGAATACATGCAGTAAA